TTTCCCACAAGGTCAAGAACCCAGATTTAAATGGACCATTATGATCTCATTTATACTGTAATATTAAAAAGAAAAAAATATGAAATACAACCAGTGACTAATGACAATACAGCAAATGTTCTATAATTTAATATAGTCACGTCAATAGTTGAATGACTTTATTTGCGTGATAAGTATACTTGATATTATTGTTTACCTTGGTAAAATGTATTTGAATAATAGTTCATTACAGATGAATGTCTCGGCATTGTAATTTTATATTATTATCTATGTCGCTGGTGTGCCCACGGCCCACACCACTGAGTATGTTTACTGGAATGAACAATAGGCTGACAATAGTGCAGTCGATAAGTTAATAAACGTTAGTCCGTTAAACGAACTCATATCACGTAAGTATAAATTATATATATAAAAAAATGCAAGTTGATATAATATAATATCGTAAGAAGCATAATTTTATGAGTCATTCGGGTAAAAACATAAAAAATACAAAAAATTGCATATGAATTCGTAGTGTTTGTAAATCAGTTTTATTATCTTAAGAGTTACACTACACAAATTACAACTTTGTAAAAATCATCATACTGTTAGCTACCCATCGAAAACAAAGTACCTAAAATAAAATACGGAAAGAAAAAAAAAGAGTGTGTAAGGGGAAATTGGCTGATGAGAGATATGACAGAGATAGGTATTGGGACATTTTTATAAGTTCTTATACTCAACGTTTTATAATTCAAGAACCATTTTGGAAGATATATATATTTTTTTATTAAATCACTCTCAAAAATAATATATACTACTAGCACATTTTTCTTTAACTTTTTATAAAATAAACAAAGTGTTAAAAATCAACGCATATAATAACAATATATTAACAAGTCATTGAAATAACAGAGACGAGCTTTCCTTCTCCCTATTGATATACATCATCTGATAATTTCGTTGTAATCACTTATTGGCTAAAATGAAGTTCTGGCGTCTACCTAGTAATGTTATCAGCAGTGGTTCATTAACATTTCACATAAATATAACTGTACAACATTGGCATGATGGTAAAAGTCCAGATTTCTATAGTAATATATTATACATTAGCCAAGACCAGATATAATAAGCTCAACTATAGTCACCGTTTGGCGATTGTAGAGCTTGAAAATAAATATAATAATAACTATACTACCTATTAATAAGGCATAATGTAATAGGTCTTGGCCTTTCTAATAGTGTCAACATGATTTTTAAACGATAAAGATGTTCAGAGACGTGGAAAGATAGCAACCCTTGTTATTTGCACGAAAAACCTCATGGTGGCGTCGTTTTTAGTGTAATCATTAGGTCCACTGACGCTAATTCTAAATTAAATATAAAATAAGTTTTAACAACGAGAAATAAAAACAAACTGTTATTGACAACGTTTTAAGATTGGTTCGGTTCGTTTAGAATCGTCTATACATTTTATTCAGTAACACGTTCTGTCGGATAAGAAAATTATGCTTAAAAAAACTTAGCATAAAATAACAGTTAGATATAGAGTATTTTTAAAACTAAATAGTAAAATGAAAGAAAACTCTCACAATTGTTTTGACATAAACAATATTCGGAGTAGGTACCTATGTAGTTTGAATATTTTACGACAGACAGTGTCTTTATTGCATGCTTTGTAATAGTTTTTATTTAACCTTAATACTAAAATAAAAAATTATAAAGATTTATTACATTCTTGCTTTATAAGGTCGAAACATTTTATATATTAATTTTCTTGTATTTATAAAACCGTGCGAAATAAAAATACATTACTACTGGGTAGATTTAAAAAAGTAATAATATGGCAACTGTTATCACCCACGTACTACCCATATAGTACATAATAAATACTATATAGTATAAACTATATCCACAATTTAAATAGTTGTTATGAAAACATATTTTTATCTTTTCGTTTTCACTGAACAAAAAACACTAGCAATAACAAAAAGTATTGAATATTTATACATGCAATTATTTATTTTTTTTTTTTTTTAGTTAAGTATTTAAGAATTACTTTTTAATTAACTTTTGGATTTGACTACAGTATATCATTTCAATCGTTTTTCCAAGAAATTAAAAAAAATATTACATTGCTAATGTTGTTATTATCTATACTTTCACCGAATACTAAATTTTTAGATTTAAATTTTGTATTTAATTTATGTTACCCATGCCGTTAAAAATATGGAAACCAGAATTTAGTGTACAACAGAAAATTAAAAAAATATAATAATAAAATAAATTATCAATAATAAATGTAATACAAATATTTTTATTTTCCAAGTTTTAGGTAATATTTTGGTACTTGTTACTCTTATTTTTTTTTACCTCATCCACCATAAATGGTTGCAGTTACCTACTAAATAATTCCTAAATAATGAAAAATAAAAATAGGCGTTTAAAAACTATCAATAAATTATGTTTTGACTAGATAAGCCCACATATAGATTACTGACAGCGAAGGAGAAAACTTTTTAGGGTTGCAGCTCTTAACCTTGAACCTTCGATAGTCTTTTGTGATAGATTGGGCAGAACTTAGTTAATAGGTATTAAGGTTTCTTCACTACTAAAACGAAAAGATAATGTTACTTTTAGCTCCTAGGGTGATTCAATTATGAATTCGTGGTAAGACCTTTTCTTTTCTCTTCCCGTGTTAATTACTGTCATTGTTACAAAAATTCGTTCCTCCCGCGTAGGTCACAATAGCTTTTCATAATTAAACAGAAGTTTAGTGGCTGGGCTATTTTTTTTTTGTGAATAAATAAAAAACCTAAATAATATATTGTATTATTAAGCCTAAATAATAATAAAATTCACTTTTGTTTAGCCAATACTTATTTCAATAACGTTGTTATCGGCGTCAGAATTAACTATTGAGTTGAAAACATTTTAACAAATAATTATTCTAATAAATGACACGGACGATTTATTATTTAGGTAAAGTAAAATACAAAGAGATAACTTGAAAAATCAGAAATTTACTAAGTGAAATGCAAAAAGAAAAGAAAAATCTTCATTTTCGAGTTATTACAGTTTGCGCGTAGAATCTGATTTTGCATCAAACCATACCAACGAAATGCAGTTAAAATTCTGCTTTTATAATTTACTTAGGCTTTAAAAGCATTAGTCTTAACCTTAAACAAAAAAAATAAGAATTGACCTAAAATATAAAGGTCATAAATGAACGATAAAATAGGATCAAGAAAAATAATTATAATTGTACCGTAAGCGCTTTTAAAGGCTTCTGTATCAAAATTTATACATGTGTTGTAATTTGTAAACACCGTGCTCAAAGTTATCGTGCGACTCTAGCGTTTTTTCCCCGAGTTCGATCGATCAGCGTGTAATGTAATCATCGGATCAAATAAGAAAACCGCCATTAAAACTTTACCACCCAGGAGACATTTAAGGAGAAACTTTTAAGCCCCGGTCTTAAGACATAAAACTCATTGTTCCGCCACAGCGGCAATGGATCTTACCGTGAAATCGCTGTGTTTCAGTATAATCGCAGCTATATGATAATGTGATAATATTATTAGTATTATTACTGTGGTCTTGGCGGGCTATACAATAATGTAAACGAGCGAGCACACCAAAGTTTAACTAGTCTTCCACCCGATACGACTTCGACCCAACGTTGAAATGTATTCGACGATATTATTATCGTTGGAATATTTTATGTACATTAGTGTTCACATAATACTATACGGTTAGATGAAAATTAATGGCGACAAGTCTGTGCACGGTAACTAGTAATTACGTGAAACCACATACATCCCAGTCCCAGTTAAATCAACAAACGATCCTACAGAATGATTCAGACAATTATCTGGGAATGTACATTGACTCACGACTAAACTGGGAAACATCGTGTATAAGTTGCAAACGAAAGAAAAACGTACTGGCAAGCGCAACGTCTTTTGTCTATTAAACCGATTTGCATCCCTGGTATACAACTGTAGGATTGTGTGGGAAAGTTTTGATTTGTCGACGATTAAAACGTGTTACCGATCAGTCAACATTTTTAGTACATTATTCACATTCATTTAAAAAGTTAATGGAAAAAAACTACATTACCTATTACGCCCTATGGGATATTGAGTGGTTCACTACAAAAAATGATCACCCTGTATATGTTAACTTCCGTTTGTTTGTATAACGTATATACTCCCTTTGATTTATATTGATACATGGATTGTTATTCGTTTTAATTAAAACTTTGTGAGGCGAATAAAAAACAAAAAAAAATATTATAAGGGACGCGCGAAAACATCAAAGTCCGGAGACGGTTGATTGGCCATTGAAATTTCTCTCGTTTAAGCGAACAAAACAAAAACGACCGAAGGTCCACTTGCGTAACGGGGCCATTTAAAAACGAACGTTTTATTATTATTTTTTTTATCTGTAAATACACGCATAATATGTATACCTATAATAATATGTATGTTATATTATGCGCCGGTTTCACTTTCGTGCGAGCCGGCGTACTTATTTGTAAAGCACTCGTATAACACACGGTAAAATAATAATATGTCCTCCTTTTTTTTTTCAAATAACATTTTTAAAACAAAACGAGAAAAGAAAATATTTAAATAACCGCTATTATATGCGCACGGTCGTCGACGGTGCTGTTGCAATGCACCGTCGAGGCGCTATATTTTTTTTTTTTTACGGGCATTCACGGATGTGTTCATTATTCATATATTATTATTATTATACACGGCTCTTTTTTTTCCCCCCCGATGATTTTTGTCCGTTTCAAGATCGCGGCCGTACCTATTGTATACACACACACACACATAAGCCACAGCAACAGCTAATTGTTACACCTGTCCTGCCACCGACGTGACGTCACCCTCGCGGAGCACGTGACCCGCTCGCCCCGGCAAGGTCGCCGCCTCGTACGACAGCTACTATAAGCCATGCACGCCGGTACGTTAAGTACGGTCTCCTCTTGGTCATGGTGCGGCGTTTAAACGACAGCCGACACGCGACCGCGGCGCATCTGTTGCTTGGACCGAGTGTGACAAAAAAAAAAAAAAACCGAAAAAAAATCAATTCATAATAGTATTATATTATTGAAAATCGTTTCTCCAAAACACTTTTGCCGCATACGCGTATGCACGCAATAGCGCCTGTGTATTCTGTGCGGTAAACGCCAAGCCGTATCCCGGCAGGGAGAAGCGGCAGTCGACGCCATGAAATCTTCGAGGGAAGCACTGCTGGCGTGCTTGGTCTTGGCCGCGCTCGCGTCTAATCCGGCCAACGGTAAGTCATAAAAGATTAAGTCAAAAAACCCATTTCGAAAAACTAAAAACCTACCCCTTTACCACCCCCCCCCATATCTACGGGATACCCCTAGACGTGATGGTGCACACCACTGCACACTTTTGATTTTTCGAAAAATATATTTATAATACATTTTGGGGTTTATTAGAACATTATTTGATGTAACGTTTCTTTTTTTTTTAATGAGTATATTATTTAGCTTAAAATAGGCAAATGTCACATTTCCCTATACGTTACCTTCCCTATTTAACTGAACTACATAGGACGACTTTTTTTAATCCAAAAAAATGTTTGTATCACGTTAAAGCCAGTGTATTTTTCAAAAAACCTATTCTAAGTGTTGGTAACACAGTTTTGCAGACAAGGAAGAAAGGTAAGAAGGGAATGAAGTTTGGTGTAATATCTTTAAAAAACACGCCGAAGTGTTAGCGACGACAATTTGCTATGAATAGTGTAAAGACGTTTCAGTTTTCTTGCCAAGTTTTAAAAGAAAATGTTTTTTTTTTTGCATGGGAAATCTTGTAGGGTTTCAAGATAGAGGTTGACCGTAGAAGAAGTGGATGGATGAGATGAGAAATGTGTGAAATAATGAAGACTAGAGATTTGTGGAAAAGAAAATTTGGCTGGGCTGTCCTATATTTAAAATACTAAATTCGAATAGTACAGCTGTGCTGTTCTAGTTTTTTTCACATAGAAATAGGCAACAACTTTCATTTTAGCTTCAATGTGGAGCTGGGAAGAGATACCTTCTCTGTAAAAGAGTATTCAATAATGTATTTTTGATTTAATTTTTTTACTTGTCGATATTAACTTATTTTGATTATTTTTGATATTTTATTTTTTTGTCAGGTAACGAGGTAATCGGTTCAACGTACCCTGACCTCACTGTAATCATTTTTTTATTAAACTTGAATAACATATAACGACATTAAAAACATTTAATCCAAATTTAAGTCATTGTTTATACTATAAATTGCACTTAAATTTGCACAATTATTAAAACTCCATCGAACCTCTACATTAAGTAATCATTAAAATTGATTACCATTGATACTCATCGATAAATATACAACACAATTTTCACTATATCATTGAAAATTTCCGTTTTAAAACAACTGATCATTTTACGCCCTTTTCATTAACTATAAAAATGCGATTATTAAATCCGATTCGTCCAAAAACTTATCCATTACGGTTAACCATTTAAAAAATGAACACAAATAACATTAAAACGTGAACTTATTAACAAACATTTTCCAAACCACTCCCTCTTTAAAAAAAAAAAAGCTCAATTGTTTTATTTATTTATAGGAAGAACTCATTGAATAATAATGATTTGTTTATGATTTAATTTAAAAAATGTAATTCATTTTAAAAATTGTTTTACTTAAATAGTTTATGTAAAAGGATCTATAAACGTTTCAATGCTAGTAGAAAAAAATCAAATATTAAAGCTGTGTTTTACCGGAAATATTTAGAAACACGCCTATTCTTTGTACGGCTATTTTAATTGTCTGTTATCTGGGTTAGACAATAATATGAGTATTTTTCAACAATATATAACTGTATATAATTTCCGTTAAGTAGTAATAATCTTTGCGGATTTTTAAATAAAGCTAAAATTCACTTTAAATATAATGTAGCGTTTTAAAAAAAAGAGAACACAAAAAAAGTTATTGAACTAATCACATGTCCTTGGAATGGCCATATGCAATTAAAAGGCTAATTGCACGTTTTTCAAATTACCGTTAATTAATAGCGATAGTGTACGCGGGTTGCAAATTACATAACTGGTAATGAATGGTTATACAATAAACTCATTGTTGAAATATTCAAAACGAATAGTGTAAATATATACCTATTGCTTATGTAGGCACGGGTACCAGAAATTTCTCCACAACAAACAAATATATAAACAAAAAATAAATTTCATTAAAACCAAACAAATGCGAATTGTAGGAATGAATGTAGAAAAGTCTTGTCAAATGTTTGTATTATCAGTTTCCCGTCGCCGGCAGGGCAGTGACCGAAAAAAAAATGATAATAATTATTGCATTTATGACATTACTCTTGACGGCTATTAATGATTGTTCGAGTTGATAATGATGAAAAGTTACAATACGTAAAGTTGCAAGTGTGTTTTCTGTACAGGTGAACAGCTAAACGAGAGCCACTGTGCAGAGACAAAACATTCAATGCAAAATATTTAAAAATATGTGCATTAATGGACATTGTTTTTTATTCGGTAAACTTTTCAGATTAATGCGAACGTTCAAATTATAAATAAAATAAAATTGCATTTTCGTATTAAAACAAACGCATTGTTTTATGAAAGTACATAAAGGATTTTATTTTTTAATATAATGAAAAGTTCGTCTCTTACAAACTTAAAAGATCATTTTTTTTTTTGTTTACTTTTTTTTGCTTGAATAAACACAGTGCACACCTCATATTTTTCAAATCAATACCTACGAATAAAAAATATGTAGGTAGGTAAAGAAGGTTTTTTTTAGAAAACCAATTATTTGGTAGTATTATTATTATTATTTTTTACAATGATTATGTCGGTGGTTTATTTTATACTCCAAAACGAATCGAGACTAACGTCAACACAAAACGCAATGCTTACAAATATTTGAGATTGGTACAAATAAAAAAAACTAAGAAGGAATAAAGGACCGTTTAACATATTACTATGCTGTTCCGCTTTGTTTTCCAAGTCGTTCGCACTCGGTGGGGAATCGTTTTCATGTTCAGCCGATCGCGATAACGATGTTTGTAATAATAAATTATAATCAAACGTTCATTAGTCTTGGCCTAAGACCGCCTGTGTGTCGTAACACAAAATTCTCATACTTTAGAACCTAAGTCCTAACGTAAAAATAATACACAATTGCCGTTGACCTTCGTTGCGACCAAGCATGTACAGCACACGTCTGTTATGAACAATATGGGCAAGTCGAACATGTCCCCTGCGATGAACAATAACATGACAATATTCACTTACCTACACACGGCGTAGGTACACTGTTACACTTAGACCTTCTTATTGGAACGTCCAAAAAGAGCTTGGTAGAAATTATTTTTTATTTTTTCCTCCTGTGACTTACCGACGAGAAAAATCGATATTATACAACAACGTGGATCGTCAGGCGTTCTTTTTTTTGTTACATTTATTACATTTTTTAAAATGCCATTTATGTACCAACGTTTTCAACACAGTACAATTATTAATATATAATATAATAAAATCCAGTGACGCAGCTATTGAACGAGTCGGAGGAGGGAAGGGGTGGCAAAGCTGATCAGTAGCTTTCACGTTACGTAATGCGTTACCTTGTGATGAACTGAATACTTAAAAGTTAGTCAACAATAGATATTATTTTCTTTGTAAAAATTAAAAATGAGAAAATACAAAGATTACTTCTTTTTAATATAGCAAATACTGTTACGCTATAATAAATAAATAAACAACATTTACTCAAATGAATTAATTTACCCAAATTTAAGCAGTTATAACTTTTTTATTTATTTATACTTCCGGGACGACTCAACATCCTACATTGTAGTTGCACTGCTGTTGAAAACAAATGGTATTTTTTTAAATGTTTACAATTTTTTAGGCCAAGATTGCCCCGGTGGCATGCCCGTGACGTACGTCAAGTACAGTAACGCTGCACCCAGGTCTGTGGTGCAACCGATTTTGCTGTACGCCAGTGTGCCCGGCGTCGCCATCACAGCTGAATGCTACAACAGGTAAGCTAAGTGCACGCGAGTAAAATTAGAAGTTAAATTAATAGTAAAATAAAGAGTAGTTATGGATTAACGCGTTTGATACTTGTGAAAAATGCATATTACACTTGACAGATGCCGGAAGTCGATGGACTGCGCCGGATTCATAATAGACTACCCGTCGACTTCGTGTTACCGGGTTCCGAACATGGGCAGTTCGACGGACAACATTGTCGTCAGTTCTAATTCGAATTTCTTCAGAAAAGCTTGTTTGCGAGGTGTGTGTCCGAAGACGGTAATGCAAACGGTTTAGCGGAAAAATCAAAATCAACTGTTTTTTATTCTCCCCCAGTTCCCGACAGTTGTAACCGCAAAGCGTGGCCCGTCGAAGTGTCCATGGACTACGAGCTGACCGGCTTCCAGTTTTCGGTCATACCCAACGTGGTGGACAAGTGGCAGTGCGCCCAACAGTGTCTAGATCAAAATTGCAAGTCTGCCAACTACTACCGGAAGTCGAGGACGTGCTCGTTAAACTCGGAGACACGCCGGACCAAACCGGCGGCGTTCAGCCCAAGTCCGAATCAAGTGGAATACCTAGAAAACCAGTGTTCCGGTCTGCCGCCAGGTAGGAGTATATTATGTTTTTTGCATTTAAACTATAACGAGATTTGTCGATTACTTTTATAAACGCTTTGTAGGCATCAACGAATTCCAATCGTGCTGGCACGAACCAGTGTTCAACAGGACATTGCAGCAGGTCGACTTGCAAGTGGAAAACATCAACATCGAACAGGTACGGGCTAATAGTTCGAAACGACCGTGTCGGTGTCGTCTGACAATAATTCTTGTAATCGATATTTAGTGTAAAGAGAGGTGCGAGACGGAAGAGTACTTCACCTGCCGAGGCTTCACGTTCAAGTGTCCGACCAATGCTTTCTACGGCGGTAGCATTTGTCTATTGCACAGCGACGACACGTTTACCGCCGGTCCTTTGATCCCGTCCACGTGCGCCACATACGTGGAACGGATCAATTGCATCGACCGTGAGTGCATTAGACCCGTGTGCCCATCCCGAGGGTTTCCATGACGTTGGTTACAGTAATTATTATTTTTGCGATTGGTTTTCAGTAAGCGTCTCGTGTAGCGACACGATGATGACGGTGGCGTTGAGATCGCCGGGCTTCAAGGGCCGGATGTTCGTTCTGGGCAGACCGGAAGAGTGCGGCGTCAACGGTCGACACATGGACACCACGACGATGACATTGCCGATCACGGAAAACCATATGCAGCGGAACCCGTGTGACGTACTGGTGGCGAGATCCGGCCACAGCGACAGGAAGCTGGCCACGGCTGTGGTGGTCGTCCAGCACCATCCGATCATACAGACCGTCGGCGACAGGGTGACCCGGCTATCGTGCTCAGTTGGCTTGGACTCGAGGTACGCGTCGTCGCTGGGATCAAGACCGCAGAACATAACCTTGGACGCAACTTTCGGTGTAGCCGAACCCACGTGAGTAGTACACCCCGCCGTCTCTTTCAAGTCCGTTCGGTAAAATTAAATTGTTTTTTAGCATCCACAACACCGTGTACAACGACGGCGGATTCGACGCCAACGGTTTAGTCGGTTCCGCCAACCTGGTAGCCAAAATGAGAATCTTGGAAGTGGGACGAGGCGCGAAAAAAGTCTCCGAAGTGACACTTGGCGATGAGCTAGAGCTACGCATCGACGTCAACCATCCATACAGTAAGACCACGCTGTGTAAAATGGTTTTTAGTTTATCTAGCGCGGACCGGGCTTCACATTTTGTGCTTATTATGAACGAAAATCAAAAATATGAATGCCATTTCAAAAATACCAACGCATTTATTCATAATACATATTTCATTAGCTATTTTCAGCTGCCATTTTTCATTTCTCATTTACAAATGAAAGAAAACATACTGTCTAAAACCAATACATTTTAGCTATTATTATATATTATTGACACTTTTTCGATAATGATAGTGGTATTGTGGTATAATGCAAGAGTTTTGGTAATGTGGGCTTTCCAACCATGTCTTACCTCGCTGATGGTCAGTTTCCAAAATATTCCCATGCTTGCAACATCGCCGTTTTCATTGAGCTGAGCAAATAAACGTGTTCACAACAAAAATATCTATACAAATTTTATTTTTAACACGCGCTGTTCGATATAATTTAAGGGCAAAATAAATTCTGGTTGTACAATGATTAATGACTATTCTCTAAGGGTTGTGTCACGTTTTGCAGACGCCACGAAACTTAGAGCCGGCCATTTGGTGGCCAGCTCGGGAGATGGACTCGACTCGCTGTTGCTTTTGGACTGGCGAGGTTGTCCCCCGGAACCGGCCACATTTCCGGTACTTGACTTCATGCCACCAAACTCCATGGTGGCCAGGTTCAAGGCTTTCAGATTCCCTTCGTCGCCCGTGCTTCGGTTTAGCCTCATGTTGATGTTTTGCGATCAAGACTTTTGCAAACCGGTAAGCTCCTATTAATAATATATACCAGTGTGTGCAAACCATTATTTTTACCATGTCCTATTGTGACTATGTGTAGAGCGATTGTGGCAACGGACAGTTGTCTTACGGGAGGCGTCGACGGGCCGTACCGCCTTCGCCGTCGCCGTCAACAGTAGAGGGTAAAGCGAAAGAAGTACCGTTGCAACTGGCTATTGTGGTGCGGTCGTTAGAGGAACAAGAAGAAATCGCAGCCAGTCAAAATCTAATCAACGGCAACGCGTCATCGTCCACCGCTGTCGAAGATAGGTCGCCCAGGAAATTAGTAGCATCAGGTTCGTCTCCAGAGTATAATACATAACATCTTATATAAACAGAGTGATTAAAACGGATGAAAATACTAAATAAATAGGAGACATCGAAAGCAATATATACAAAAAAAAAAAACTACGAATGTATAAGACTAAATTATGCTTTGTTTGTGTGACCTATACCTCAATCTTGAAATAGTCTTGAGTCTGCTTAAACTCGAATAATTGCAAGTGTTAATTCATTGTTCTGTTCTTCAGTTTTTCGCGCTAACGAATTGTGTATATCCTGGACGACGGGCTTGGCTATTGTATTCATTCTGGTCGCCGTGCAAACGCTAATCGTTCTGGCCTGTTGGTCCTGTCTCAGACAATCCAAGCAAAAAGCTCTGAACGACAGAGTGATATTGACTTCTGACTTTCAGCCCAGACACGTCACTTGGGCCGATCACCAGTGAACGCGTTACCATGTACCCTACCTACCTAGTTATATATTTGTTATTAATATTACAATGAAAATGTTTACCAATTTTTTTTTTTCAAATAACTATGTAAAATCAAAAAATTATTTTTATAAATCCCCGTTATTGTAATTATTTAGAGGCATTAATGGAATATGTTTTCTTTTTTCATCTTTGTATTATTATAAACTTTTTTCGTCGGACCTACTGCATGTGCTAACAATTTTGACAAAGCCTTCTCTTTCGCTAGTTTTATTTCATTAGTGCTTACATAAACGATAAATAATCACGGTTATTTTTACCACATATATTTTAATCAAAATGCATGAATCACTATGTATTTTTTTTTTTTTTTTATTAGCTGTTAATAATATGAATTATGATTTTCAAATAATATACTCCGTTTTTGACCCTAATATCTATATAGATTGTTTCAGTTCGTTAAGTGATAAGATGATTTTATAATAATTATTATTTTTATGGAGTTTAATAGTTTTAACGTATTGACATGTTCCTATATGACTTGCTGTACAATAAAATATTATAATAACTGATGGTTAGACGTTAAAAAGGACGTGTGTATAATGTTTAGCGATCTGGGCCGCCATTTAAATAAACTTTGCTTCCTCTTATTCGTTTATTATTGCCTATTATTCCTGGCATTCTATCAAATCCACTATTCAATCTAAATTCAAAATTTGCAGGTTTTTTCTAGTCTCCTATATCAAGTTTAGAATACAGTTCACTTACAATCAGAGTTACCTACAGTTGATGCAAATTAATCATTGATAACTAAATATATAGGAGCAGCCAATTTATTTACGTTTTCTTAGCGGATATATCTATGCTGGTGATTCTTTTTATTAATTAATACAGTTAAAATCTGTTTCTGACATAGAATACAAAAAGTCAAAACTTATAGTACTAAAAATGGAAAAACTTTAAAAACACTAAGTAAAAGGTAACTAAAAAAAAATTCCTAAAAAGTAAAAGCAAAAAAATATATTTATTTTCATCCGGACAATTTCATATAAACGTCACTATCAATCGACACCAAGATAAAGCTGATAAAGATCAGACGATAAAGCTGTAGTTGTGCGTAGATACATCTTGTAGGCAAAGTACTTAAAAACACATTTAAGTCCCAAATATAATTTTTGTTAAACGTAAATCATAATATTCGTTGCAAACGTTTATGTCTTTCTCAGAGTATTTCTCCTATTTATCATGGCGAATATTTTCAGTTTTTTTTTCAAAACGTGAGTCGCACGTTTACACACATTTATCTGTTGTGAATTATTGCAGTACATGCAGATGTACACGCTATATACAGATATAGCGATTTTTATTTTACCGTTATTCGGTAGGCATATTTTACGGGACCATTTCATTAGTTAAGTTCAGTATTTTATTCGGTACAATTTACGAACCTTCAAACACGTTTCAAGCTGAATAATTTACTTACACAACTTGTACACAATGTGTACATAAATATATATCAGTCAACGGGGTTTACAGCGTTTTGTAAGTTTGATAATATGACTTAATAAAGTTTCAAATGGTTCTCGTTGCCCTACATGACTTCGTTCAAAAGTTATGCAAATAAGTAATTTAAATATGTAATAATATACCTCGAACAAAGAGCAACAGGGTTTACTATAAACAAGATGTCCGTTTCTCTCGTACAATTATTTAAAAAAAATTGCTCGTAATTGTTAACTTGTTAATGGCCCTTCCGTCGCAGTTTTGCTTGAAAATCAAATAGGTGTAGTTTTAAACAAAATGGATTAAATTTAAACAAATACCGTGTAAATCCATCTAGGTTTAATAGTACTATATAATTAGTAAAGCTTAAATAAAATTAAATGTTAGCTAAATGTATGACAACAGTCATTGATAACTTTTGGTCAACGCATAAGTTTTAATTTTCCATAAAATCGGTTCGACTTATGTAATTTAAAGTAAAGCAAAGTAAGGTACACAAAATATATTATAGTATTAGCTGCAGTCAAACGCATTGGAGATGAAACAAATTGACATTTTAAAATGTCTCTAAGGACAATTATAGTTTAAATACATTGCCTAAGATGAATTATGTAATGTTTATCGTTTATCATGAATACTATTTTTTTTATTTACAACATTTTTAGTCTTTCAATATTTTTTTTTCAGTACTTCGAATTACAGTAGGTAAGTAGCATATAAATATAACTAAATTTGTTTATAATATCATTTAGGTACTCAATATATAATAAGTGGTGCGTTTGTAGAGCAGCATCTAAAATCTACATCACGACAAAAATTAAAACCTTTAGCGGAGGCACAAGCCACTAAAATCGGGTGAGAGTACATAATATTTCATATTATCTCCATCGATGAACATCCTGCGAATTTGCTATGCGATTACTGCCGGTTGTAGGCTGGCTGCACTGTACAAACCCGCTCCGTTATCTAAAGATTTTCGCCACCTTATCATCAGCTGCCTGTCAACTTGTAAACACACACACATACACCACCTGAATAATTTTAGTTTACCCATTATAAAACTTTTTTTTGTTTGCAATACTGTGTCTGCTTTAACCGATGCAGAACAGTGTAAAATGCGTATGATCCAAGGCAACAGCAGCCCGTGATACAATGCCGCCCGACAAGTCGTCGACCGTCGTGCAATGTGCACGCGACCACACCACCGAACTGTCTAAAGTATGCCGGTTGTGTCTGTCCGTCGTGGACTGGCCGATCAGCGTGTTCGACGAGTTGGCCACCAAAATTACACAGTGTCTTCAGATCCACATATCCCGCACGGACTCGTTACCAAAACAAGTATGCAGTAAGTGCAAGGACACGGTCAACGAGTTCCATGCATACTACAGCAACGCGCTGGAATGCCAGAAACAGCTAGACCAGCTAGTGGACGTCCAACAAGCCAACAACATGGTCAGTACCCGAAGACCATTCCCACCCCATCGATTGTCCGGCGTTCCGTTTGGATAATCTGTACGAATTTCTGAAACTAACACCTGAGACGTTGCGCAATATGTCGATCATAAAGGCCTATTAGTCTGGTTTCGTGATCGTTCTGTCGATTATTGTGTGATAACATTGCGGTCATTGCTTCCTCCAGTAGAACCACATTGTTTTTAGAATTTTAGTTTATAGTAAAATATTTATTTATAAGGATAGAACAGTGTGTTAAATTTAAAAAATGCCTATCAATATTTCCCACAAAAATTTGAAAATAATTTTTCAATATCATAACTTTTTATGATTAACGTGAACTTAAAAAACATTTTGAATATTATTCTAAAGAAAAACTATATCCAGTAAAGCACCATATCTATCTTATATACTGAATTTTCCTATTGTTTTTTTGCCTCTGTATCAGTTTTATTGTCTAATACTTAAGAAATTCTTTGTTAAACAATCTTCTTCAATGATTATTCTCGCAAATCTTTTCGATATCTTATTTTACAATAATCCTGTAGTATTTTTGCAATAAAACATTTTCTCTTTTTTGTAGGCTTCTAGTAGTTTTGAACCGGTGGTCACCATCAATTATGATAACATCGAATATAAATCGGAATACAATAATGAACCTGAACGAGATTGGTCGGATGGCAACCAATCTGACGTCGAAACGAAACCCATCAATCTAGACCAGTAAGTAGAAAATAAATGTATAATACATCTTGTCTATTCTGATTTATTGTGTATTGTTTAATATAGGACTACCAGCTGTGATAAAGATAAACCTGTCAAGACTAAAACTTGCCGCAAACTGAAAATCAAACTATTTAAATGTACCAAATGTGAAGAATCTTTCAACACCAAAAATGCTCTCAAAGTACACAAAAACGACACACACCCGCACTCCGAGTACAAATGCAATTGTTGTGATAAAACTTTTGACACAATGTGCGCTCGTCAAAAACATAAAAAAGAGGAACATCCGAGTGTAACTTATTCGTGCGACACTTGCGATTATCGGACGCCATACAAGAGTCGTATGCAGTACCACGAAAACAGACACAAAAAAGTCTACAGTGTGTTCTGCGACACTTGTCAAGCAGGCTTTTTCAACAAAGACGAATTGGCCACGCACGAAATCAAAAACCATGGGGCCGAACCATACCAGTGCGACAGGTGCAGCAAGCTGTGTACATCGAAAACTAACTTGTACAGTCATATGAAAGTGCATACAACTTCTGCCGAATCCGTCAGTTACCAATGTGAAACCTGCGGCAAAGCGTTCAGGCGTATAGGAAGCTACAGGCGACACATCCAGTCGCATTTGGGACTGAAATATGAGTGTTCTTATTGCAAAAAATTGTTGAGCTCGGCACATCACTTGAAGTTGCACGTGCGCATCCACACCGGCGAGAAGAATCATGTGTGTGAAATGTGTGGAAAAGCATTCACGGTCAGCAAATACCTAGTCGAGCACAAAAGAATACACACTGGTGAGCGGCCCTTTAAATGTGATCTCTGTTCCAAGGGTTTTACGCAGAAAACATCTTTGCGTATTCACACCAGATGGCATACAGGCGATCGTCCGTATAAATGTGACGTGTGCGATGACCGTTTTGTGATCAACACATTCTTGCAGAGACACATTAAAAAACACCATCCAAATTTAGTTGAACCTATTCAAAATTCTACTGCTGTTCAACAAATATAACATAGTCATCTTATATTATTTCAACGACAGATTAAAATGAGAATAGTTCTCTTTTAAGTTATAATAATGTTCTTTTTACTAAGTTGGTACTTGTATATATTTTCTTTTGTAGTTGGTTTCATAATTTGAATGTAATAATAGAATGTTATGTAAAATATAAAAAACTTGATAATCATATTATTGTTTTAAGTATGTTGTTATTTGTTAATTGTACAATTAGTTTTATTCCAAATTGTTTTAAGTTTTCGACAAATAGTAAACATTGTGGTAGTTTGAAATGTGTTCCTAATCAGTTTATTACCCCTTATAAAGTTAATAGAAGCTTAATTAATATAATTAAAAATGTACATACCATTTTTAATTAAAAAAATTATGAGAATTTTTATTTTAATATAAAAATGTATTAAAACAATTCCAAGGTCTGGTACATGTATAGACATTTTTACAAAATCAAACAAGAATTAATTATGATACACAAAATTGTTGTTTACCTGGTTTATTAATATTAAGAATTGGCACCAATTTAATTAGTATAAAAACAAACTGCTAAAAATATAATTGACTCGAGATGATAAATTTGATGTCTGTCTACTCTCTTATATCGACAATTTTGAAAATCTATTTGATTATGAAAAACTTTAAATTTACCATGAAATAAAAAGATGAATTTATTGTTATACTTTAAAACTGGTCTAAAACTAACAAAATATTCCAGTTTTTTTTTTTTTAATGTCACAATTACAAATTGTATAAGAAGTAGTCTTTTTCATTACAAGCCTAAAAACTGAGCAATAGTTTTTTAAAAAATGTACACACAAGGAAGGAATTTCCTTGAAAATATTGTTTAAACAAGATTTCAAATGCATAAAAAGAGTCTGTTGTTTTTTTTTACTTTTTTTATAGTGACAAGTTTTACATATAGGAATTTCACAAAAGCGCTACAAAAATGTAATAAAGAAATACGTTAGGAATAATAGTAACAAAGCAACAAAATAAGTAATAAAAACTGCAAACAATTTTTCCAACAATTAATACTTGTTGGGTCCTTTACCTTTGATGAATTATAATTACAAATTCTTAATTGTATAATTGCTATGTACATTAATTGATGGGACTACACTCAGTCCGTTTCTTTTATTTTAATGCCCCGACGAATCTGCGTCATCGTCAAGTAACCCTAGAACATGTTAATCACAGCGTTTAAACAATTTCAAATTTTTCAAATAAGTATTACAAATAAATACCTTGTTTCTTGTAGAACAAAATGTATGCGTTACAATGATCTTCTTGTCCCGGCTCAGTCTTGGTGGTGGTTTCATCATTATAGTAATACCACTCGTCAGACTCTGCATGTTTAGTGTACGCTGTATAATGACCCATCGACGTGCCTAAGAAAAACAAAACAGTATCTAATATATTAAGCGTTCTATGACAGTGGCAGGTCATGCCTATGTACGATGGTGTGGTGACCGACAAGGTGCTTTGATCAGTTTGATCATAGTTTACACAATATGTTATTAAACACTATCGGGGGCAACTTTACATCGATCATAATAAAACTCACTTCCTGTGTGGCATACACAAGCATACAAGTCATAAACAACATCTTTTGAAGGATCCAATTTTAAACCGTCCAAAGGAAATACAACACTGTCTTGAAGTTTAATACCCCAGTTTTCATGGAAAACAAACCTAAAATACATTTTTTTAAATATTAAATACACTTGTTTATTTGCATTGTTGTTAGGTCACAAATACCTTTTTAAATAAACAATTAAGCACTTAGGATACTTAGATATAGATAACGTTTTGGTAGCGCACTGATTCTTCTCACAACGAGGACACCACCAAGGATTGTTTTCGTCTAAAATTTCACTAGAGTAAAATAATAAAAAAAACATTTATAAATTTTCATTGATTCTTTGTTTATCAATTTGAATTCATTATGATGTTATCAATAATTTTATTTTACCTTTGGCTAAAAGCATTTATACAATCGTAAATGGAAAGTGGGTGGTTTGATCGCATTTGTTCAATTGAACCAGAATGCATTTCAGTCTCGAGTAAATTGGGGTCCACCAAACTTTCAAAGACGACAGCCAGTGTATCCCCACTGTGGAACTTGATGGACCCACTTTTGGGTATTGGGCAACCGCTACAGTGTGTGTCCCACATACACCTTGAGCACATGGTTCCTTGACCGTCGACCAACGACAAGGAAAAATCCTCGTCGTATGGATGGAGTTTAGCCACTTCGGCATACAATAATTCTGCAGATAATTCATTAGGCAAACGAACCAAGGCTGGTCGTCCAATCAAGCCTTTGTCGTCAGCTTGTTTGATAACGATAGGAATGGTCAAACGACGTGTTGATTGGTTTACGTCAATTGCAGGTTGTTCGACAGGAACTAAATCGACTTTAGGATCTATACGCACTCGGCATACGGGACAGTCCATTTTGTCTTTTTCGCCGCTTGAGTGTACACAACTCATTTTGATACATTCTTCACACAACACGCAAGTACAGTTGTTAACATCTTTATGGTGTACCATATCGGGTTTACACTCTAAACATATAGTACAGGTTTCGCCTTGTTCCGTTGCTCCAGAATCCAATTCCATCACTTCCTGTAGGAAAAAATTACCAAACTCAAATGTCACTGTTTTTCAATTTTTTTTTTTTACTTACGTCAAATAGATCTCCTTCTGAATGTTTTCCATTTTTTCCACCGTTTATGAGATCTGTGTTAATTTCCAACACTTCAAAAGCAAACAAATTTCGATTACTATAATCCACACTTCTCACTAAATGGTCATCATTCTGTAAGCAACAATGAAACGTTAATAATTTAATCAGTGTTGGTAAAAAAAACCCAAACTCTTAAGGGTTTCTTTTGTTTAAGTTCATCAAATGTTTGTTATCTAACAAAAAATGTGTTATTGAATTTCTGTAATTACAAAAAAACTGCTAACCTAATACAAACCGAACAACAAGCTTACCAATATTTTAGATATGTGTTTGTTAAACACTTCAGCTACAACCAGTTGGTCAGCATTTTTATCTTCACCGATCAAATGAACTAATTCGCTTTTAACCTTTTTGATACTATCCTGTTTGTTGACAGTAATCAAGTACTTGATTGGAGCTTTGTTTGTTGGGCTAACAAACGTCACATCTAAATTAAATTAAATTACACTAATGAGGTAGGTAGTTTGCCGAAATAATATCCTTAATGATTTTATCTTACACATTTGTTGTTCAGTAGCGTATGGTAAAGGTACAGAGAGGTACATGAACGGTTCATGCATAACAGAAACATATTTGCATTCTGAACATGTAACCTATGAAAAAAAATGTTTTTAAAAATGTAGATAAATTAATACTTTGAAGAAGAATTTACTTACAGAACTCTCAAACTGTCCTTGGAAAATCCTATTTATTACAGATTCTTGACGTTTCTCGACCACAGAAGACCCTATCGAGTCTGCTTCAACCATTTCGCTCTTCAATACGATATTGTCATCTAGTTTTACTCGCTTAAGATCAATGAGGTTTGAGTCTGAAGAGGAATCACAACACATTTCTCTTTTTCCGTTCAACAAATCGTTTACACGGACTTTAGTCTTGAGTTTGTTTGAGTCACATACCAATTTTGTGCTATCAACTGAAGGTACAAGTGCGTTTATCTCACAAGTGTTATTTTTTTTCTGTTGCAAGTCTCCGTTTTCGATAATTCTGTCGGACAAAGCTAGTGTAAAATCTAAGTCGGTCGAACTAACAGCAGACTCTTCAATGTCACGTGGCAAGAGTTTCCTCGGGTTAGACGACTTACGAGTCTTGCGAGATGCAGTCGCCTTGTAATGTTTGGCAAAATGCAATAGCAGCTCATCATTCAGACTGTCTAACAACAAGGCCAAGAACTCCTGGCAGTCGTGCTGGCTACAATCCCGGAACTGTGCGTACCGTTTGCCAAGAACATATTTGAACTGATGTGGGTTAATGATGCTAAATTGACCATGCCAAACGCGCTTGACGAGATCTGCAAACTGCTCAATCAAAGTATCTTCAGATCCGTCGGTATCGAAATTTAAAAAATATGAAACTAAAAATTCTGTTGATAAGAGGGCTTGTAGACCAGCGCTCATGAAACACGTGTTGCCGAGATTGCGAAGGCCACAGACGCCTATTTCAGTCGGAGGGTCGGATAGATCAGCATCGGCAGTGAAAATAGAGTTTAATCCAAGGTTTGGCGTGTCTGCTCGCGAAGCGTTGAGAACATTAAACTCTTCAAAATCGTTTGGTCCTTGTAGGGGTATGGGAAAATTGGAATTGGTTGATGTCGGGAAGCACGAAGCGGAATCTTCATTCCTAATCAAACAAAAGATGTTTATAATCATGGGAAATCAGACGAGTAAATAAAAACATATATCAATTATAAATGCGTTTAAAACATAATTAGTTGCCAAGCAAAAATTGGTCTAACAAAAAACCTTGGTCAACTTAAATTGTAATAATAACAATGACAATGTCAATAGATATATATGAACAGGTCACTGACTCACCAAGAACTGTCGATCGTCATCATCTGCGAAGGTTCATTACTACGTAGAAAAGAGTCAGCGTCAGTGATTTCGGACAGCTCGGGCAGGGTTTTCGGAAGGTCCTTGTCGAGGTCTTCAGCCAGAAACGCGGAATCCCCAAAGTTTGGCTCTTTGGCGTCTGCTCTCAGATAATCGTAACGGTTGCTGTGCAACGAACTCAGAATAGATGTGTCGACCTCCGAAGTTTCCATATGTCGTGCGGTCTGCATAACAGGTTGCATTCAAACATTAATTCGTAGATTGATGAGACAAGCTGGTGCGGCGACAGACAATGGGGTAGATTATTTTTTCTTTACACACCTGAGAACCGAAAATGTGCCGACGCCGGTTTTATTAGGCAGACGTAATAAAACACAACAAATCTGTATTGGACAAACGGTTTATAATTTTTTAGCAAGTAGTTTTCCGTCGGACGAGACGAGAGATCAGTCGATTTACCGCGCTCAGATGCACACAACACGCGAGTAATTTACACGGCACCGAAATAATATTATCGTTGACGGCCGACGATTCCGATTATTTAACAATGCATAATAATAAAAAAATAAATAATAATAATATTTTAATAAATCTTATACACTACGTTCGTTGTTGACCGCGAAACGGCATTATCAACGTTCAACGACGATATGGTAAAAAATATTAAAAAAAAATAACGCTCGACTGCGAATGAAATATTGTGTCTATCGCGATTTCTTTTTGTTGGGTATGGACCACAGAAGAAAACATTGAAAATGTTATTTATCGTTTTTTGAGGTTATGCGGTTTCAGAGAGGCAACTTACTGCAGCTGCTGTACACACGTACAAACTCACACACTCACCCGCGACACGCACACACACACAGTTCCGCAACATACTCCTTGGAACCGGCAATACCGGCTTTGCAACGTCCTTGACGTGGGGACGCGCGGGAAAAAATCGATATTTTATCAAATCGTCGTTGTACTTTCATTGGCGTCGAGACAAAAAAAGATTAAGTCAATTTTTACATATATAAGTCTTTTGGCTGGGTGCCAGGTGGTCTATCAACATTACCGGTGAATGGGGGTAAGGGGGTTATCCTGTGTTTTGATCGTCTAGCTCTAGGACAATGAGGTTTTTTATTTTAAATAAAAAAAGGATGTCATATTTTAGTTGTCTTATCAAAATATGCTAATGCTTTTCTAAAAAATGATTAAAAAAATTAAAAATTGGAACTAAAATTTAAAATTTTTTTACAAGAAGCTCTAAAGTGAGATACTGCAGTTTCCTACTGGAAAGCTCCGCAAGATAGGATTGTGTAAGTATGATGGTATAAAAGTAAATCAATCATTTTTGAAAGTTTGACATTACAGCTCTGCTAATAAATAAAGCTTGTCAAAATAAATTTGATATCAAAGTTAATAAGTTACCCAATACAAACGCTAACTAAAATATTTGTATGTATTGTCAATGTTCAATGAATTTCCTATGTAATGAAAAACAAATAATCCCATTTCTTATCAATTAGTTGAAATATATATATTATGTATTTTTAAATAAAACAAATTTTAAATGATTGTCAATAGTAAAAATATTATCTATACATATTTCAAAAGTGACATTATATACAAATTTTAAAATAGATATGGATTCTAAATTATTATACTTTTATGAAATACAAAAATATTATTTATAAATAAAATAATAATAATAGAGGAGAAAACAAATATTTTTTAAGTTTTTTAAAAAAAATTGTTCATAGTAAAACAGAAAAGTAAAAAAAACAATGTAATTGTTTATATCGTATAGTATTAAGAAGTCGTTATTTATTTTTTGATCAACTTTTGCTAGTCATTTCAAGATTTTCTTTAGGATCACAAGGTCTTCTAAACTCTTGTCCAGCTTCGTGCAGCCATTTATTACACACTAAAAAAAAAAAAAACAAGTTACGTGATGTTTAAAATAGTTTATAACATTAAAAAAATTACCCCATTTGGATCCCTGCAATACAGGACAAGCGGCGTGTCTAGTTCTTAGATCACCGTTTCCACTTGGATATAAGTTCATCCATACAGCAGCTGTTCCTTTTACGGGTTTCAGAGCGACTCCTAGCTTAGGGAAAACGGTAGCCCCTCCTTGAGCGACGTCACTCATCTAATTGCAGAAAAAGTATTTGCATAGTTTTTATATTTATGAATTGTAATAGTGTTGAGCTCTAGAACTGGTACTTACATAAAACAATACAGTAGCAATACGATTGCCAGTTCCCAGAGATTTAAAAGCGTTTATTTCTTCTCTCTGTAAGAAAAAACTACATTTATACATTTGTAAACCAATAATAATGCGAAAAAATTATTTTTCTCACTCTGGCAAAGTCGTAATGCGGATCATAATGACCACCCACACCATAGTTTACCACTTGAAGCTCTTCGGCTGTCTCCGTCGTAAGACCCGTCATTGCCTCAACACGCTTGGCAACGTTGGCCACCACAACGTCTTCTTGCTCTTTCAGCCAAGCCGATTTACTAATTCTGTAGTCGGCAAATTCCAACTCTCCCGTTTTGTAGTTTTGCACGGTGGCTCGTTTCAGCTAAAACCATAGCAAGAAAAATATATATACACAAATAAATAAAAGCAAGACAAAATTAACGGTAGGAGGCTCGCTTACTCTCGGTTGGGCCAAACGTTTGATAACTTCAATCTCTTTGTCGTACAAAATGCCATGGTATAGCAGTATTTTAGGGCTTAGATACGCTTCTTCTTCTTTGAGCGGAGCGATCATTAAGAGCGGATTGTTGTTGTTGGTGGTGTACCGACAACAGAGTTTTGAACTCACTTGGACAGCCATCATGTTTTCGTTTCGGCATAACATCTGATAACTTTCCCTCTCGTTTGGGTCCAACATGGTCGGCGCGTGAGTCTGTTTGCTTTCCTCCAATTCCGTTGTCCCGTTTTTAATGGTCGCCTCATAGTAAGCACGGTTGCCCAGGGCTCGTTCGTGGTTCGGGAACAAATCCAACAGCTCATTGGTCAGCTCCAACGCCTTGTTAACGTTGCCTGAAAAGCAAAATCAGTTGGATTAAATACATTTTAAAAAATTCAGCCACTGTTAGGATAGTGCCACAACGTAACTAATTCTCTGAATTTGGGTGGCGGGGGAGGCTATAACCTCAGCTATTTTATATAATTAAAAAACTATTAAACATTAGTGATCCCACTATGCTCCGTACCCATTATGCCCAGTGCCCACACTCCATTTTGCTAGGGTTTTCAACTTAGGATTTAGGTTGTGTTTACCACAGTGTAAATAATAATTGATTTTCGCTCACATTTTTGTAGCCATACTTTAGCAACTTTCTACAGAGGTATTTACACGATGAGTGAAGAGACACAACACGAGTCTGGTTGTTAAAAACTTACATGGCCAGCGAACAAGAAGTTTAATTAGAACACAAACAAATAATCATTTTTTTTAATTAAACCCAACATTTTGGTATTATTGACTCATTTGGTTTCTGCAATCAGCGATTCTTTTAACTTAATATAGCATAAAAGTTAGGTCAATCAAATAATCAAACTAATCCATTGGGGTACGATTCAACGTGGAATACCATGTATATTTACCTATATAGATTATATTAATATTGATTGGTCGAGGGGCCCAAAAAATGTATGGGCTCCGGGGACGTGCCTCCCTTCTCTACTCACGAAAAAAAACCGGACCTGTTGCTCACCTTGCATGAACGTTGAATAGGCGAGATATTCCAAGATTTCCCATCGATCTGTGCTGTTGGATCGCTCCTGTTCGTGTCTTTTGAGTGCTTCTATCATCCATAATTCGGTGTGGTAGAAATCTCGACCGTTGTAAGACTGACGACCGAGTTCAAAACAGTCACCGGCTGTAGCAAAAAAAAAAAAAGGTAAAAATATTGTAATAAAAGCAAACACACACCTGTATTGAAATGCATGCACTGTTACCCGTAAGTTGCGAGCTGTATTGGATTCCGTTCAATTCTCCTCTGGCAACTGACGCCGTGTCCAGTTTGTACGTGTCTTGCAACCTCATGAGGGCTGTGGCCGCACCCGACAGATCTTCATCGGTAGGAAATTTCAGAAGTTCACGGTATTGAGTAAGATTTTTCATGGCAGCTAATAAAATTGAAAACAATTCTTTTATCAAACAATACCGTTTATTGGCTTTTAAAAAGCCATATTTTGGAAATTGTTAATAAAAAAGAAATATTGTTTTCACTTGTCTAAAGTTTGCTAGTACTGACAAGTCATTGTACTCAAGTATCCCCAAGATAAGTATTTTTAAAGCAATTGGAAATTATTATTTTCGTTATCTAAGTTTTTTACAACCTTCGAGACAATTTTGAAAACAACCATACTAAGGAAACTCTAGATAAAACTCTAAGAACAGAATTTTTTTATGACATTTTTTTTGTACGGTATATATAATTGGTACAACGAAATTTAACATTGTTTTTAAAAGAAAAAGTAAACAGTCACACACCTTCATAATAAGGATCCTGCATCAGTTTTTCCGTCTTGTGCCAGTCGCTAGTCAGTCTTTTCACTAGTAAATAATCGTTGATCGGATTCGACAAGTAGTTGGTAATATCCTTGGCGGCGATTTTGTGTTCTTTCTCGTAGTCTCGAGCGTGCCTATTGTAATCGCGTGACAATATTATTAACATTTTAGCATTCATAATAACAACAATAATAGTGAACGGGCACGCGACATTACTTTTTTAACGCCTCTATCCTTTGTTCTTGGTCGGAAATGTACTGGTGTAAGGTCCGCAAGAGAACCGATTCGGTTTCCAACAGCTCTTCGAGTTCTGCCAAAGCCGTGTACACTTCGGCCCTTGTACACACGCTCAGAGCCAAGCATAACGGCAATGCCACCCATATAGGGTGCATACCTGTAACGCATATTCAACGGTGAGTACAATGTTGTTCGGACGTCAGCTCGGTTTCAATTCGAATATTTCTCTACTTTTAGAACCAATGTCCGGTCCCCAATGGTATATTATGTGTATGTTACATTATTATACTATTATTTCAGCTTAATTGATCCGACAAGTCACAAGTGGATATCATGTTCGACCGCCATCCACGGAGCATTGAACGCGCTATTAGCAGAGGATGAGGGTCGAAAGGATGTGATTTTTAACTTCCTACAATAGATAAGCCACGCGTCATGTGTTCATACTCAGATAAAACCCATTGTGTACATCGACCAATTCATTATACATATGTTTATAACTACCAATGTACATAGTTTACACACTAAATCTACATTCGTTCTGTATAATACTATAATTAAAACACACAACGTCCATACGCGGTCCATTAAGTTTTTTAAATGCCGGCTTTACGTTCCAACAATACAATAATTAATACGAACGCCGTACGTTTATTACTGTATTAATTTCTATCTATCTCTTTCTGACTTCTCCACACACGCACAAACCATATACACGGTTCCCTGCGAGGTCATTAGGAAATTATATTTAATTATATAAATGCTAAGCGAAAGGTCAACAAATAGGTAACGGATGTCACTATTGAAAGTTCAACGACAAACGAAACGCGGTGTACCTGTTACACGAGATGGATAATTATTATTCTAACTTATAATATAATAAACATTTATAGAAACTCACTGTTAACTTGCAGATTTTTTTTTACCTCCCACGACCCGAGTCCCGAGTGAATACCATACCTCAGATATAAGAAGCGTTTTACGCGAAAAATGTGATAATAAATTCTCTTCGTGTCAGCATATTACAAACCGTTATAATACTATGTTTGTACCTACATGAGGGAAATTCACGGCTAAACAGAGAGGCTCAGCCATGAGGCATAATTTAGCAAGGTGCGTGCGGCACCATTGTTTTCAACTTGACCCCATGTAACGCCTGACGACCTCAAACCGTGAAGTCTTTCGCCCGTGGCAAGTTGATGCTTGTGGGTAAATTTCACTTTCATAAAGATCTCGAGGAGTGTGTGTATAATCGAGTGAGACGAAGTAAAAAAATAAAAATGAACAAGAAAGGTAATTTTGAAATTACCAGCTCTTAAAAGTAAAATAAAAGCTTGTACGCATCAGTTTGGGTTGGTAGACTAGATAATAGGTGTACAAATGTTACAAATGTTATATTATGTGGTCGTAAGGCACCAGTTAATGGGTTAAGTCTAAATTTGATTTATTATTTCCTTTCGATCAAATTACTTAAGAAGATGTATAGTTTATTAGCGGGGTTTCAATGAATAAAATTGTTCAAAGTATTAATTTTTAGTTAAGAATTACTCAGCCGTGATATTGTCAGTCGAATTAACTTCATTATTGTAATTTTAAAAGGCGCCTAAATAAGAGGCTAGTACTTGGCACCGCCCCAACAATTAGCTATTAACCTCATTTTAACCAATGAGTAAGCATGATTTCAGTTGTGTCATACAATTATAACTTGAACACTTGAAAGTGGGCTTGAACGCCGAATATATCATAAAGCTCCCCCTTCCATATTGAGAACGTTAACTATTTTTGAGGCACTAATTTCAAAAGTGAGAGTATGAAGCACTTAGGCCAAGTGGTTTATCCATTTCAATTAAAATAATTCCAAAACTGCTGTGACCAGCCCGACTTGCTGCCCGTTTAGTACCGACCCCGCTGTTTTTTTTTAATATTGGTATTTTTCCTTAATTGTGTTATAAATTTATATGTTTCCGGTTTGTAAATAAATTACGGGCATTGAAATGTTTTGTAAACTAATATGGACAACGTTAATTGCCTAAACGACTTTTTTATAGTATATATTCCTTTGAAAAAAGTCAAATTTATGATCAAAATAATCCGAACGGAACGGCAAATACCATTGGTTTCAAGGAACGTTTTCGACCAGTTTTTGATAAATGTATACTATTGTATAATAGTAAGCCCAACTATTAAGCCGGTCGGTATGGAAAGAAAATTAACGATTTGAGCGTTAATATCATACATTGAATTCTGATGCGCCGGGGAATCCCTAGTGCGTGACAGAAGTCTCGGCCGAACCAATTAACATACATAATGTGCCATGAGCTTGGGTTCTAGCCAATTGCCATTGGAAAACAAAAAATGTAATCGTAGTCAGCGGTAAACGACCCTATGCAAACACTGTAAAGTAACATTATCCTTGTTTTGTTTTTATTGTATACATACATAAGATTATACAAATCCTAAAGAAAATATTATCTAACTGACGTATGGACCAGACCTTCGTAGGACTAAACAAATAAATCATCGCGTTATGCCCCGAGGAAATGTATTTACTAAGAATTTTAAAAGATAATATATAATATTATAATTTATAGGCTATCCGGACTTTCGCGATTTCTCAATCGGTTCTAATCAAATCCTTTTACTTGCGTGCGCGACCGTGGATACCAGAACGAACGCTATAGGTATTATGATAATCGATAAACGTACATGGGGTATTACCTAATTAAACGACCAAGCATGAAATATTTATTCAGGGTCGATATGATCAAATTTAAACGATAGAAAAATAAACTAAAATTATCTAAAATATATTTTAAAAAAAATAGATGTATATTAACCGTTTAATGTCTTATCCACAATCCTGTGAGATGGGGTTGGGAGTATAGAAGTAACACTGGTACGAAATCTGGCCAATAAAATAGTAACAAAAAAAAAATCATAATCGTTTTCAAACTCTTAAACAAAAATTCGAAACAAATTAACGTTTACAGACCCGAAGACGAAACCAGTTTTGACTGTGAAGAAAAGGGATTAAGCAAAACTACCTTCTGTTAGAGGAAAGAGTTAAAGACATTACTTTGCTGTCTTTCGGCAAGGACTTTTTGAAGATTATCTCCAAACAAGTTTTCGACTTATATTTATAGGAAATCAATCGAATTAAACTAGGAAATTAAAATATTTTACGATTTTAAGGACCTTTTTACTTTTTTAAGTGTCTTCTTATTGATAAAACGATTTCTATTCGATAAACTGTGTATAATATGAAGAAATCGGTTCAGCGGTTAGGAAGAAGCATAATGGTTCATTATTTCCCGTTAGGTATAATTTTTGACCAGAAGACTTTTAGGTTAGGTTAGGATGTACTGCGTTGATAAAAACGTAAGACTAGTGGAGCATATAAGGAGCCACGCTTTTTTGTATTGCCTTAGGCCTCAACGTAATGTAATTTTGTCGTCAGGCTCTATATGTCACGAATTCGTGTTTAATTTAGCTGTTTAAGCCGACAATACCTTCTTCATGTTTGCATAATAATCAACTATTTTTTGTATTTATCGTGTAAAATGTTTGATGATGACCGATGAGTGCTCGCTAATGGAACAAAAAATAACGATAATTATTATTCATAATAACAACAGTGATTCGCACAACGCGTATGAAACATCTGATTAGATTTTTGTTGCAACCGTGGCCGTTGTAGGTATCATTTAAATCGAGACACGAATAAGATGAAATTCTTGGCGGAGTACTGGTTTTTTTTTTAAGAAAACCGGTATAGGTGTACGTCAGTCTTTAAACTGGCTATCGTCGCTAAACCCATTTTGTCAACGGCAATTTAAAAAATCAACAATCGCCGACACGAAAACATAACGCACGGTGTCGTTTGTAGTCTGGGAAAGAATATTCTAGTCCTTAACCGACCAAGAGAATTGGATAACCATAATAACATCGAAAATAGATGATGAGTCAAGTGACATTAGACAACGTGAATATGTTTACTGTCTGCCCATCGACGTAGGCAGATAACCATCTGCCATGATATTATTTTGTATTCGTTCGATTCAGGGTGCCTCGTATGGACGTTGAGCAATAATGGGAGAAAGTGAACACACCGAGCGCAGCATCATTCTTCTTCGTTATTATTGTGTTAATATTAAAAATAATACACATACGATAACGTTTATTTACATATGTATTGCTCGGTTTGACAAGCCAACGCAACAGTTACAATACAATTATTATGCTCCATAGGTTTAGCATTGTCTGAGTCCAATCCATTCACTGTCACTTACTGGCGCACCGCAAGAGGTACCGACTAAAATGTAATTGAAGTAAATTATATTTTATTCATTATTATTATTCGGCTATGCTGGTGAAAATATAATATATATATACATACACATAGTTTCATGATATAGTATAAATAAATTCCTCCAAATAACACGAAAATAGCAATAATCAGACCCCGTTTGGATATAACGCAGTATAAATAATAACATAAATGGATTCAGGTAAGACCCCAAAAATGGTATATTGTACCTTTAGACAAATATATAATATATCTGTATTTTTAAAGAAAATACCGGAACTAAATAAGTGTGACAGCCGTGCCGAATCGTATGATATACAATTGTCTGAATAATAAGCAAGTTTATAATTAATTATTTTCCTTGCAAATAACCGATTGGAATTATCAGCAGATAACCTAGAACAAAACTGAATTATATTATAATATTTATATTCGATTTACGGTTCGCTTATAAATTCTTATACAAAGATATAATAATTAAAAACCGATAAGTAGGTTTTTTTTTAGACTTTTGATTTCGCCATTGAATCAAGTTCACCGTACACACTGCACAGTATGTCATTGTTTATGTTTTGTTGAATAAATTATCTTTAGCTTTGATCCGAAGCTATTACAATTTTGTATTGCCGAAACTCTTACTTTTAACTATATAGATTTGAACTGATTTGAACAAAAAATGTTTTGAATATATTTTTAAACTACATTCACAAATGAACAAACGAACGGATGAAAAGTTCAAAATAATGCGCTACAAAGCACGAATTCAAGGTTGAGCAATAATGAGTTGGAAAGTTTTTTTGGACAACTTTTAACCGAACATAAAGTTTTTTTAAATATATTAATTTTATTTA